AAAGTATTATTTTCTGATGAAGGTTTTAGACACTTAAATCAAACGGACCCGCACTTCAATTCAATCGCCTTTACAACCTTTGTACAAACAACTGGTTCCAATGTCTATACAAAAATATAAAATAAATATCTGATTTTCTGTGAAACCACCTGCTTTGGGAGATTCCTACAGGTCATTTTACACCAGTCAGCCATACGAGAATAAAGAAGATTTAAGTAAAATAGATGACAGTGTATAATTTTACCTTAAGAAATAAAAAATATCTTCTAGTAGTTATTTTTTTAACAAAAACAAGGGCCAGTACAAGTGCAACAAGTACATAACTGGGATTTTGATATATGCAACAACTAGATAACTGGAACTTTTTTCCTGATATTCCTAATCTTGGAAAATATATACATTATTAAACCTCATGGATGGTTAGTAAAGAAGGTAAGAATGTTAAAAACGGAATATGGCTTTAATATTTTGTCAATTTTAATCTTTAAATGCGTTTTTCTCAGAAGTGTTATATTTGAGTTACCTAGTTATAGTATTGAGGCGACGAATTAATAGGAGACTTATCTTTTAAGTTTTTAGAATCGACCGAAAGATGGTGCTACTCAGTTGCGGGATCACGCTGTTCGTGAACATTCACGTTTGTTACTGCGTAGTAAAATTATGTTTTTACTGCAGCGCCTGTTGCGATCATGGCTGAGCGATTGTCGCTAAGCGATGATCGCAGTGTGGTCTGTAAAAAGCCGTCTACACTATCGATCGAAGTTTTTCTGATGAAGTGTCGAAGTGATGTTAATCGAGTAGTATAATTGTTTCGCTTTGACTCTCTTTGGGTGGATTCTTCGATCTGGTGTTTGATGTCCTGTTATAGTCTTTCTACCTCTTCAGGACGTGGTTTGTTTTTTGTTGTGTGGTTGGCTGGTCCTTTTTGTCGTGTGTCCACTGGTGATCGTTGGTGGAGCGCCTAGACAATCAAAGGTGAAAGGCAGTGTATAAACGGTCCTTAGTATACAAAGTCTGGAAACGGCCAATTATCTCGTAAATTGCTATAGATAAAGTCACGTTCAGATGGCAGTGTACGGATATAGGATAACAGCGTTGCCAATTCTACTGCCATTGTAAGTTTTGCTACTTTTGTACAATAAGCAGGGCCAAACTCACGGTAAACTAAGATATGTTTAGGTAAGCTAAAGTTGTTAATAGAAAATTCGTGAATGAAATAAATGGTAATATGTAATTCCAAAAATGCTTTTATACATAATACCGCAGTAAATAGGGAAAAAAATATGAAAAATATTCTACAGGTTTTTTAATGTTCTAAACGGTAAATAAGGGATAACTGATGATCATTCCTTGAAGAATTACAGCTAATTTTACTTTGTTTATTTTTTAAAGAAAGATGAAGTTTGGAAAAAATCATTTTTTTGCCTATTTTGTTCCTTGTGCATTTTAGGGAAAAATGTTTCAAATAAATGTTGCAGATCTTAAAAAGTTTTTTAATTTTTTAGTTTGTAAATTAAAATACATAAACAAATGACTGAGATAATTGCAAAAAACCCCTAATTGAGGCCCCTAGAACACAAGGGTGTAAGTGCAGTTGCTTATCACTTAGCAACTGATATCTAACAACAGGCACGTACTTTTGGCTTCAAACTTTCTACATTAACAACAATAACACCATCAAAAATTACATGTCATTGAAAACATGCTGAAAACTGAAAAAGTGCTACCTAGGTTTTTAAATTTATATCGAACTTTGAACAAAGATTTTTCAAAACTTTGTTTTTGGCACTTACACCCCTTGTGTTCTAGGGGCCTCAATTGTGCACTAATTTATTAAATGTTTATAACTTTATTTTTTGCATAATGACGTCTAATATAACTACTTGAAATTATGTCGATTAATGAGTTATTTAAGTGTGCTACATTTCAACCAGATCAACTAAATATTTTATTACCTTTACTGAGAAAAGAATACCCCCGAAAAACAATTTTCAATAATCTTCATTTTCATAATCTAGTTCATCTTCAGAGTCATCGTTTAATGAAATTCTAATAGGTTTAATGTCATCTTGAATGTTGTCTACTGTCCAAAAATTATTCTCCAATTTTATAACATGATTGACGTAATTTTTCCAATGTCCATTGTTCTGTACTTTATCATAACCTTCATAAATCAATGTTTTAACGTCGTTTTGTTTGAAAACTTGAATTCTTAGAGGACACGTACCGTTTCACTTCACTCCACACCATTTCTATTGGGTTCAGTTCACAGTGATAAGGCGGAAGTCTTAAGATATGTACATCTACGCGGCATTGTTCGTCACTGTGATTCCTGTATTTTTCACCAATACAATCAATTTTGTATTTGTCATAAATATTTTTAAATACATTAGCAGTTTCCAGAAGTTCATTTTTTAAGTAATCTTCTTCAAAATAAATGTCCTTTTCATAGAGCCACTCCTTAATTTGACGTTTCACCCAATATTGTTTGGGAAAATTTAATTTCCTAGAGTGATGAGATGCATTGTCCAAGATAATGACATTCTTTTTATTTTTTGGGAGATTCGGTATTAACATCTCTTCAAACCATTTTTCAAATAGATCTCCGTCCATCTCTTTATGGTAATCTTCAGCACCTTTTTTGGCAAGAAAAGTGATGTCAGCACCTTCAACAAATCCGTCTTTGTTTCCTGCATGGACTAAAACAAATCTTGGTCCTTTTCCGGTCGGAGTTTTTAAACCTGTGGTAAGTCCATTTACGAAAGCCTGTCGGCTATTTTTTATTGTTGTATCTTGCCATACTTGCCCATTGGTTATTCCAGTATTAACCCATGATTCGTCCATATAAATGATATTGGCTCCTTCGTTCCTCAGTTTCTTTATTTCTCGGAGATAGTGACGCCTCCAAGCGACTATTTCTTGTTTTTCTATTAATATTGAATTTCTACCTTGTTTGCCATATATAAAACCCATGTCGTGCAATAGTCTTCTCAACGTACTCTTGGAAAAATTCGGAAGATGCTCCATTTGCTTAATTTTTTCTAGTAGGTACTACGTCAAGGGTTGGAGGAATATTGTCCATAAAAAAACCGTGCACTACTTGTCTTATTCTAGACCGAGTTGCTTCATCATATCTATTCTCACGACTATTCAAATAACCGGTTCTTTTTTTCTTATAGGAGTTACGAGTGAACCATTTTTACTTTCACTTCTATATCGGAATATCGTTCGCTCAGAGACTCCAGTCATAGCAGAAACTTCCCGCACTATTGTTGATACACTTTTATCATTATTACTGTTTGATAAATAGTTAAAAACATTTAACACTATTTTTTTGCATTCACTATTTAACAAATTACCGTTTTTGAATTTTATTACACTCGCGGCCATTTTGACACTGACACGACACAAACGTCTGATATCAACTGAAAATTCTTTTAATGACTCTCAAGTATTTACCTGAATTTATAATTGCTGGCATTAGACAATAATTTTGAATTTATAAATAGGTATATTTTTTTAATTCTAAATTATTTTTTAATGTCTGTAACTGTAAATGCAGGTAGAGAAAGTGTGTCATTAAAAGGACATTAAGATCAAAAACGGATTATACAAATAATTATTTCATTTCCACGAATTGTAAACAATTTTGAACAGAAGATATAATTCCGAAAAGACCAGATTTCCGAAATATAACTTTCTATTTTTAAAATACCAACAGAAAAATTATATAATTAAAAAAATGTAGTATTTTTCCGTTTCACATTCATAAATATTTCCGAAATTATAATTCTTTTATAGGAGCCGGCCCATAACGTACGATTGTAGGTACGATTAAAAACTGACAACAATGTAGTTATTTCTGGCATATAGAAAGTACAGGCCTATCTCTGTAACGCTGCCATCTGAATGTGAATTTATCTATAGTCATAATTGTGCAAAATTTGAGATACACCTTTTTTGGTAGATACATTCAAATGAGACGGAAATTACTGGTTGGTCAGAACAACCGGTATAGATTATTTGCGTAGTAAAATAAATTTATATTAGCAGCATTTTAAAAACTTAAAAAGATATTTGTATTTTAATTCTTTGTCGATTTTTCATTCATTGTCAGTTGAATATAGGTTTTAATTAAAGGGTACTACAAAAAAATATTAACCTATTTATTTTGTTTATGCAAATGTTTGAAAGAATCGCCCAAGGAGAGATCTGGTTTCTCGGGACAATCCACACACTCATAAATTGGTTTTTTTCTTATTTTTCGGATAGGACATACTCTGCATCTTTTCGTTTTCATTTCGCTTTTTTCCGATTTATTAGCAATTATTTATAGGCAAATGTTCGCGTGCAATATTCCGTCTTTCTTTGCTTTTTTTATAAATTAATTTACGAATTAACTCTAACCTTAATAGTCTTTTACATCTTTCTTATCTAGTGATCTCTGCCGATGTTCTGCAAAAAAGATTTTAAGTTGAATAGTGAATCTGTATTCCAATAACTCTCCAAACTTGAAATCCGTATGTATCAGTTTAAAAGATAATTCCCATAAATACTAGAAATTTAAATAAGGAAAGTAATTAACATCTTTAAACACTGGAATTTTCACAAACACCAACTTATTAACTTTTTTATATGCTAAACATTGCAATATTGTTGTTTTGTACATTGCCTATTTTTTAACAAAATCTTACTTACCATAACTTATCATACTAGGGTTCTAATAAATTTGTAAAAACCTAGCAGAACACTGTGGTATATCATATTTTTTTTTAATTCTGCTAGCTTGGACCGTAAGCCAGCAGAATCGCTCCCCTTAAGGGTGGTTTGATGGTGAAAAAATATTAGGGTGGTAATAAATTAGTGAAAAAAATGGGTGAAAAAATATGCCATTAACAAAAAGTTTTTTTTAAATTCTGCTAGCTTGAACCTTAAGCCAGCAGAATCGCTACTTTTAAGGTTGGTTTGGTGGTGAAAAATTAGGGTAGTAATAAATTAGCTGTTTTTGCACTTTTTTTATTCATAATTTCATGAAACAATGTTAAAACAAACTAATAAAAGCAAACATTTTAAAACTAAATTGAAGCAACATATTGTGTTAAAATATAAACTTACTTTGGTAGAAATATCTTTTAATAATTCTTCTGGGCAAGACAAAGTTTGCGCGCCAAACCAAAATCACCTGTTTTCACGACAATCAAACCAGCTGTGGCATGACAAAGGAAGATGTACTGAAAAATTTGGTTATTGTCCCCTAGATAGCACACATAATCTACTATTGAAATAAAACATTTTAATTATTCCAGTATTTCTAGTGACTCAGCCAAGTTAATACATTTAACTTTAGAGGTCACTGTCACAAAGTAGGCCTATGTGTCACAAAGTAGCCTCACTTTACAGAATACATAACATTTATTACAAAAAAAAACAATTAGGGTTTTCGAGACCCCACTGTGCAGTCTACGTTAGATGAATGAACTGTGCTGTTCTAGGGTTAAACAAAGATAAAAGTCAGTTTAAGTCAAATCAAGATGTGATGGACCTGAAATAGCAAAAAATTGTTTGTTTAGTGAATCATCCCTTGATGATTCACAGACTACACTGGATAAATAATAAGTAAGACTATGTGTATTTCTATAATCCATCTCATTTCACAGTTTTTTAGTAACAACAAAGTTACTTAAGAAAGGGCCTCTTGCAACAGCCCTTAAGTTATATTCCTTTATTTTGCATATTCCAAACATTTTAAATATCTTTGGATATAAAAAAAAAAATTTAAAAACACTAGTTTTATATTATTAAAATATAGATTTTTATAATTGTAAAATTTCAATAAAACTTATCATATATCGCTTACATAAGTATATTAAAGTAGCTGCAAATTATAAAGTTCACAAAAAAAACCCCATTAAGAAGATGATAGCAGGGTAGTTTCTTTCCCTGTTTTCTTAATAACTTCTAAAACGTCATTTGCAGGAAGAGACGATTTTACAACCACCTTTTGAGTCTCCAAATTAATGGTAAATTCTTCAACTCCTTTGTCTTTTAATTTATTTAAAACTCTTTCTACTGCACCAGAACAGCCATCACAGGTCATTTTTACATTAAATTCGTGAACTTTGGACATGATTACTGGAGAATTTTACCTAAAAAATACTGATTTAGGTGTTTTTAAGCAGTTAACTTTTTAGTATGTACTTACGTGTTCTTTGTCTCTACTTATGATTCAGATTTCAGATACAAAATAATTATTCAAGAATTTAAAAAATGTTGATGTCACCAAATTTATTGTGACAGATTATTGATACCGGTTCAGTATGAAGTTGTTGACGGGAACGGGAACAGACATGGAACAAATGAGTTTTAGGCGTCTGTCAATTGTCTTTAGTTTAATATTCATTTACATCCCTGTTGTAAAAAAAAGGGTGATTATTAAAAATAACTTTCATCAGTAACTTAAATAGAACATAAATATTTATAATATAAATCTAGTTATGGATATAAATATCAATATTTTTTATATATTCATAAACTTGGCTGACCAAATACCTTCATTAAATGAAGACCATATTGACAAAGTGGTGAGAATTAATAAATGCTTTCATATTGTTCCGTGGAACCATAAGCGTAGATTGGTAACATTTTCCGATCTGAATTTGGTATTATCCACAGATCACCTACCTCCCTAGATGTTCCACGACAATACTTTAGTTGGATATGAAATTCAGCGCTCCATAAGATTAGTATCGGAACTAATTCAAGCGAGAAATTACGCGGGAAATTCAAATTTTAATTTTTATTATTCAAATATTTGTTTATATTAATATTTTATTTTATTATATTAATATTTTATTTTATTCAAATTTTTTTTAAAATAAAGTTTAAAATTTTTAAATATAATTTGGTATATTTGAAAAAAAAAATGCATGACATTTTTAATTTCAAATATACACAATACAATTTAGGAAAAATAAAACAAAATGTAAATTATTTATTTATTTAATACTTGTAAAACAATTTTGTAATTTAATATAGAATAAAAATATGCTATTATCACTGAAAATTGTACAATTTTATGGAAAAAGCTTACAAAAAAGTCAGAAAAATAGCAATTTAAAATTTACTGAAATTACATAAATCGTCAATATCACAAAATAAAAAATAATAAAATACACAATGTATTGCAAAATTTAAATAAATTGCATAATAAATCCTTACGAACTAATACATTTTAATACAAGTTTCTGCATGTGATACTCAAATATATATTTATACAAATTGTTTAGTTACTTGTACATAACACTATTCGTTAAGAAACTCTTCTACTGAATAATACGATCTTTCAGATAGATAGGATTTTGTTCTTTTACGGAACTCAAGGAAAGAAGTTGCAGATTTAAGTTCATCAATCAGTTATTTGTTCTCTAATATCAAATATTTATTGGACTCACCATACAAATGTAAGCTAGGAATTGCATTTTTATACAATTTATGACTCCATGAAGAAACAAACTTATCTTCAACGTGTCTGTGGCAGATTCGTTTTGTTTTATAAACTGTACTAGCATTCATCATATCTAAATTAGGATTGTTTATAACACTAAGCCACTTCCTAAATCGTGTAATGTCTTCATCGTGGATTTGGAAAGGTATGTCTAATTAATGACGAATTAGTACATTGTAGGATACAACATTTATTGTGAAAAACCATATTTAACTGATTATTATTAATCTGCAAAATACTATTTGAACACCGCCAGGAACATTTAAAACGTAGATCACTGAGGTAGGTGATTCGTTTTGTAATTTACAAACTAACACTAACAAAATCAAAATATAGACGCTAATATGACAATTGGCGATTGACAATTATAATACTTTTCTTAGTTGTGTTCTAAACCTAAACTGCAGAGTAAAACTAGAGACAGAGTAAAGCGACATCTGAAGATTAGTATCGGTACTACAAATGACATTAAGTTTAATTTGACCTTGAGCTACCTACGTGAAACGTCTAGTTATTAGTGGTCTGTGGTATTATCAAAGAATATAAACGCATAATTATGAAGATTATTCTCTGAGGATATTGCAATTGTGCTAACTAATTATAATCTTCTCGGGATTTGGCAAATCTAAATTGATTATTGGTAAATAAATAAATTTTCATTTTTCCAGTTAATGTGAAATAAAAGTGAACTCTAAGTAAATTGAAAATGTTTTCAACAGGAAACGGACCAAGATCAAGATATTTTCAGTACGCTACAGTGCAGTTTCCACCACTCTCAAAACCCCTCCCATTTTTATATATAGCGTGAAAGATGGTAGCAAAATGATAGATAATTTAGCTCAAGCAGTAGAAGTAGAAACTTGCTTTACTAAAGCCTTAACAAGCAACACAATAAAAATTTTACCAAAGACACGTGAATCCTACAGAAAACTAATACATCACGTACGACAGGAAAACATCGTCCACCATGCATACCAACCTAGGGAACAGAGAGCATACAGAGCATTTATTTGAGATCTACATCACTCCATTCCGATAGATAAAATAAAAGCGGAAATTCAGAAAAAGGGTCATAAGGTAAGGAACGTTACAAATGTCAGACACAGATGAGCCGTGAACCGTTACCATTAGTTTTAGTGGACCTTGAGCCTCAAATGAACAACAAATAAATATTTGAACTACAGTATACACAACATTGTAAAATAAGGGTGGATCCATCGAGAATTAAAAGTAATATACCACAATGTATTCGATGTCAAGAATATGGTCATACTAAAACGTACTGTGCAAAACCATATATTTGAGCAAAATGCGCTGGATTCCACAATATAAATTAGTGCAAGAAGCCAAAAAACACGCCAGCAAATTGCACTCACTGCAATGGAGACCATCTTTCTAATTGTAGAGGATGTTTTGTTTATCGTGAACTACTAATGTCAGATACAATGACAAATAAAAACAAATCACCACTCAAAATCCTGTCAACAGTTCCAATATAAATATACCTACCCAACACCATGCTCATAAGTTTAACAGAACCAGTCCTAGAGACGCTGCCATTGTAAACATATAAATACATATAACAAATATAACAACGATGAATTAACAGATAAACTATCAAATTTCCTAAACGAATTCAAAATATGTTCACTCAACTGTTAAACCAAAATAGCATGATTTTAACCATGTAACCATTAAAAAATAACAAAGTATTTTTAAGTCATTACGAATTGCGTCGTGGAATGCTAAAGGCATTTCAAACCATAAACTAGAGATATCACTGTTTTTAAAAATGTTAAATATAGACACTCTATTAATATCTGAAACCCTTGCCATATAACGGTTATTAAGATACCTTACTGTGTATTATGCAACCAACCAGACGGAGGAGCACACGCAGGTTCTGCCGTTATTATTAAATCAAAAATTAAACACTGCAGTCCAACCTTATATTACGAAAAAATCCAAGAATCAATAATTAAAATCTAAACAAACCCCTCTCTCAGTGTATCATCAGTTTACAGCCCAACTAGACATCCCATTTCAAGCGAAGAGTATCATAATTTGATACAAACTCTTGGATCCAAATTCATAGTAGCAGGAGACTGGAATGCCAAACACACCACATGGGGTTCCAGATTAATCACGCCTTAAGTTCGAGCATTAATGAATATCGTCCAACAAAATAACTTACCTTAATCAACGGAAGAACCCACATACTAGCCTGCGGACCCCAACAAAATCCCAGATTTTTTGGATTTAACTGTAATAAAAGGGATAGTGCAATAGAGTCAAACTTCTATTTAACATCAGATCACAGTACAATAATAATAACTTTAAGTACACACATAATATGGAGAACACTACCAGCCAAACTCACAAATAAAGAAACAAACTGAGATGTTTGTTTGCTCACGATAGACAGACACGAGAGCTCGACACATTTGGAAACAAATGAGAAATCCACTAAATAAAACGTACTTTAACAGGATAAGTCATAGACTAAATAGAGCATTACATGAAGAAAAAAAACGACTCTTTTCATTTTTATGTTTCGAACCTCTCACATGACCACTCATAGACACTCTAATATGGAAAGTTACAAAAAAATTTAAACGACCGACAACAAATTCACCTTTAAGAAAAACAGATATGGCCTGGGTCCGCAAATTCCTAAAAAACAGAGCATCTTGCAGCTGTATTCGCAGCACCAGATACTAATAACGATGAAGATGATGATATAAGAATGTAACTTAAAACTCCATGTCAACTATCTCTTCCTCTGACAATATTTAATCCGCCAGAGATTGGACAACAACTAAAAATGCTAAATTCTAAGACAGCTCATGGATATGATTTGATAACAGGAGAATTACTTCAGAAGCTACCGAAAAAAGCAGTTGTGCTAGCGTTAGCGCGTTAGCGCGTTTTAATATGTATGGCTTGAATAACATTTATGTAGTTGTAAGTTTGTATGCGTTTAGATAATGAGCGTTTAAACACTTGTAATGTTAACTCGCCCTTAAACTCGCAATTCGCGTCATGATACTAAGACTAAGAAGATAAGATATTGCCATCGAGCAAAAAGATAAAAGAGGGAATGTAAAGGTAGTGGGAGCAAACATATTGTTAGACAGGACACAGTATAGTGCTTTAAAAAGAATTTCTTTTTAAAGCACTATACTGTGGACAGGACGTGCGATCTTTAGAGGCCACATTAAACAAGGAAAGAGAGTCTCTCTTTTTGTTTGACATCAAATTTAGTTGGGTTATGTTATTGTTTGTCCCAAATGTCACATGAAATCTTATTTATATTGAAGTTTTTTAACAATTGTGTTGCATTTTAGACTCTTATTATTAATAATTAATTAAAACTTTCTCGTCTAAGACACATTCTGAAAAATATTATATAGCTTCTGTTAATAAGTGTCGGAAAATTTAAATTTGGCGCATTCGCATTTCCGGATATGTCCGCCATCAGAGGCCACTTTTTTGGTCTCCTTTTCATAAGGATTAGATTCCCTCTTTTGTCTTATTGCTCGATGGATATTGCGCATAAGTCGTGACGTCATTGGAGAGTTTGATGTTCGAAATGTCAGTTTTTTGTATGTATCAATAAATAATCTTTAATAAATAGTTTGGAGATATTCTTATGTGTACGATTATTGTAATTACTAAACCTCTTTACTTATTTTCGTCTAGTAATTTCATCACAGAATGCATACAAATCCCATTTAACTTTAACAAGAATTCAAATTCTACTCTTCAATGACGGCATGCGCGAACACAACCTATTTTGTGCTACGGGAAGATCCTATCTTGTTATTATAGTATCATGATTCGCGTTAGTGAGACAAGGATCTACAGACCGAGAATTTGGCATCCAAATTCCACTGATTCGCGCAATCGTACTTGTAAGTTCGTATAGTCGGCTGGAGTTACAATTTGCCAAATTTAAATGTAATCGTTTCTACTCATTCATATTAATATTATAATGTATAATATATTAAAGTTTTTAATATTGGTAATATTATTAAAGCTTTTAATACTATTTTTTAATATTAAGAATAATATTAAGTAATTAAATATTGCGTCTTACTTAAAAAAAGTACGAGATAAACTCGTTTTTTATATCTTTACGTATGCTAAGGGTAATAAATTAAAATCCTTCAATACAAGACTAAAGGTAGGTACCTATAATTTGAATAAGCTGGTTTTGCCCATACTGACTTTCTAATTCTAATTACCTACTAATTTGCATAACAGTCAGATATTGTACCTGGTCATAATGCTGTTTTAATATTAGGATTTTCATTTCGCTTGTTGAAACTTCATCCGATATTAATTTCTTGGAAATTTTTATAAGGCTGAGAGTACTTAATCGGAATACTCGAGTATTGTTGAAAAAAACTGAAATTGAAGGTACTACACAATCGAAGAACTCAAAAAAATTAAACATTTCCGGTATTCTTTTTCCAGATCGTATTTTGTTTTCGAGATATATTTAAATTTGGGAATTTTTTATTATTTTTCCACTTTTTTCAGGTTCTTTTTTAATTTAATTTCAGTATATAAAAGCCTTTACAATATTATCCAAATTTTATTTGGAAGTTAATCTTAACTGTTCAGAAACAATTTGCTATTTAGGAAATGAAAGTTTGTTTTTTTTTCCTTAGTTCTTAATTTGCTATAACATTTCTCATTTGATTTAATAAAAAATATTGTAAATTCATTTTTTTGAATAATTATAACGACTTACATCCGAGTAGCTTAACACAATTAAAGAAAATATAACGAATACGCTCACGACTCGGAACTGAGTCTTTTCTTCTTTTCGCATAAAATATTACAAATTTATTTAAAATACCCTTTATTTAATATATACTTTATTTATTCATCACAATTAAAAAAAAAATACTAGTCAGCACAGCGGTTGATTTCCATGAAAATACGCTAAGCAGTGATAATGATTGCATGTACCTAAGTTAATATTTTTGTCTTTTGGTTGGTGTTATATTGGAAATTTCCCCTCTCAAGGCATTTGCAAGAAAATTGCACTTTCATGTAAAAAACGAGTTATTTATCTCGTACTTTTTTTAAGCAAGGCGCAATATTTAATTACTTAATATTAATATTAATATTAAAAAATAGTATTAAAAGCTTTAATAATATTACCAATATTAAAAACTTTAATATATTATACATTATAATATTAATATGAATGAGTAGAAACGATTACATTTAAATTTGGCAAATTGTAACTCCAGCCGACTATACGAACTTACAAGTACGATTGCGCGAATCAGTGGAATTTGGATGCCAAATTCTCGGTCTGTAGATCCTTGTGTTAGTGAGCGCTCAAAAAGAGGCGCCGACCCTCGCTCCGACCCATCGAGCAAAAAGATAAAAGAGGGAATGTAAAGGTAGTGGGGACAAAAATATTGTTAGACAGGAAGTGCTATCTTGAGAGGCCACTTTAAACAAGGAAAGACAGTCTCTTTCCTTGTTTAAGAAGTCAAATTTAGTTAGGTTATGTTATTGTTTGTCCCAACTGTCACATGAAATTTTATTTATGTTGAAATCTTTTACCAATTGTGTCACTTTTTAGACTATTGCAGTTAATATTTAATTAAAACTTTCTCGTCTGAAAAATATTTTATAGCTATTGTTAATAAGTGTTGGAAAATTTAAATTTAGCGCCTTTGCATTTCCGGATATGTCCGCCATCAGAGGCCACTTTTTTGGTCTCCTTTTCCTAACGATTAGATTCCCTCTTTTATCTTTTTGCTCGATGCTCCGACCATAGGATCTTCCCTATTATAGACCGATGGGTAAAATAAATGCATTTATTTTAAATACGAGCGTTCACTGTCAATGCTATGCTCTAGGCGAGGATACGATGCCATGGTCTCCTTTATGAACGTACTCTTATTGACCTCATATAAATTTTTAAGTTGATTGCTTATTCGCCTCGCGGTAATTAAAAAAAAATGATTTTAAAAGAAAATAAACTTAAAAACCACTACATGTATAACTGAGTTAACCGATCATATCATATAACACATTCATAATTTTAGATGATTTCATTGGAATTTTTTTATTTTTGCAAATAATGCTGGCGTGCCTCTTCTAGACTCCGCCCTGGCATGCGTTGTATGGATTGGCCACCTTAATATTAAAAATTAATAGTCGATTTAATAATAATTTTTACATTTTTGTATGCAGTAGATCTACATAGAATACTTTTGTTGTCCTGATTGTTAAGGTCTATTTGTGTTAAATTTTTCTGCATTACAATTACTTAATATCCACGAAATTTACTTTTCATTGCAACATGAGTAATTTCAGTAATCTTCATTATTACAAATAATATTTTGTACACATATAACCCGCCAAAAAATACGAGTACCTTCACTGGAATCTACTCCTAACCATAAAAACCATGTTTTAGTTGTTATGTTTTATGCATTTTATGTCTCTGATTTCGATTTCTATTTCTATATTCACACCGGTAACTTTGGAATTTCCTTTTTGGTTAGGTTCTTTGAGCCTGTATATTGTTTCAATTTATTTATTTTTTTCTAAGAATCAGTATCAGTATAGGTATTATGGATCAAGATCTCGTAAGATTTAACATAGAAGCAGATACTGCTGTAAGTAATTTAGTTTGATTATGCTTTTTTTTTGTAAATTAAGTGACGATCTTGTTGCAGCTGGAACAAATTAATTTGATGAAGGAGAGTTTAAAAGGCATTAAAAGTAATATCGATGGAGTGTCTCTTCAACCTACTACCAGTGACGGGCAGTTGAATAAACTTATTACTGAAAATATTAAGCTTAAACATCGTTTGTCAATTTTAAATAGAGTAAGTGGTAAATATTTATTAATGAAACATATATACAATAAGTTGCATCATATATCCACCTTTGTGTTTATGTAAGGTAATATACTTATTACATCATATTTTGTAATGTTTTATAGGAATATGGGCCATAAAAACATTGGAATACATTATCTCCTTGTAATCACAGTCTCACCAACTGCATAGAAATTTTCTAACAATAATATTTAGAAGTATTTTAGCTATAACTTACCTAGGACTCTTGTATTAAGGTGATATTGAACATTCTCATAGCAATACTAAGTTCTGCTGAAGCTGCCTTATGCATGCCATACACACTACAGTCTACCGGAGGCATGCCTGCTAAGGTAGACCGGAACATGTATGGGAATAGGCCTGTGCAGTTTTTTGAAGCTGCACAGTCTACCGGAGCAAAATCAAAAATCAATTTTTTTCGAGTGACACCATACAATGTACCTGTGCGTGTACTCCGGCCGCCTTAGCAGGTCACGTCAGTTGTTTTCTAGCGTTTCTCTGGGAAAGTTGTCTTGTCGTTTGCACCGTATTGTCACACCACTCAATTGACTCTAGAAAATCTTGCCATCAATTTCAATGAAAAAAAAAATGCTTGAAGAATTTATCAAAATTTATAGAATTCATCCATGTCTTTGGGAAATCAAAAACAAAGATTACCATAATCGAGATAAAAAAACAAGCTGCTTATAAATTGCTAATAGAAAAATTGAGAGAAATTGAGACAGATGCGGACAAAGCAGTGGTTATGAAAAAGATCAATAATTTAAGAAGCAATGTTAGGAAGGAAAAAAAGAAATATATACAATCTTTGAAGTCTGGGGCATCTGCTGTGCTGATGATGTGTACTGTTCTAAATTGTGGTACTTCAATTTATTTAATTTTATTCATGAACAATGCACTCCCATGAAATCTTCATCCAATTTAGATACTGATGATGAAAATAGTTCTGAGGTAAGTAAAATATTTAATACTTCATAATGTAATTTTTTATTAAGTTGATTTTATAAAACATACGGATGATTTTCACATTTGGTCCCATTGAAGATAGCTTCAAATGGGTTTGATAGAATGAAATATTGGTGTTTCGCAGTGTTGAAATTTACATTACAAACGAAACATATGCAATTAAAAGCAATAAGATATTTAAAAAATAATATTTAACGATTACGAAAAAAAGAAAAAGTAAATAATTTTAAAACAGTTTTTAACAGTAAATAGTAAAATGTCAGTATAAATAATAAAATTTAAAAGGCATCTGTTGCAATCTGGCATCTGGTGGTTTGAGGGTTCTGACTATATTGCCAAATCTATCCGCTAACCTACCAAAGGGCAATTGCCAAAAAAATTTTCTGATAATTTATTACAACTAATATCAAACGAAACAAATATTACTTCATTAATATTTTATATAAGGTATAAGGTACCTTTCAAAAGCTCTATCTCTTTGTATTTGAAGCATATAACATATACATTATAATAACATGGCAACACTGCCAACTCAATATTTCGTTCTGTGAAACTTAATTGACAGCTAATTTGAGGCTATCTTCAATGGGACCAAATGTGAAAATCGTCCAAACATACTATTTCACAAATTTCACCTAAGCTTAAAACTATGTATTTAGATCAACATTGCTCATTTCAGTATAATTTAATTTACTTGATCATTTTGCTATGGTATCCTTCCTTCCTGATTGAAATAATTCATAAAATTTTCTCGAACAATCTTCACATTATTCAAAGTATTTCCTGGGTTTCTCCTTTCTAAGTTTTCAATGGTAGTATTTTGTATATTGTATCCTGCAGAAATTATAGTTCAGTGTTCAGAGTTTTCTCGATAGAAATATTTCTGAGGTGCATAAGACTTGTGAGTGAGTGTTCAATTAAAAAGTTATGTAATGCACAGGATGCTTTCACTATTTTATAGACATTTTCAGATTCTAAATTTATATTGGTATAAAATATCCCAAATCGTGATGCCAGTATCCTGAAATTGTTTTCAACAGTGCGCCTGGCCCAAGATAATTTGTAATTCAGAATTTTTCTTTCTCGCGATGTTAAATCTGCTTGCCGAAACGGTTTTATCATATCGGGGCGTAATGGAAAGGCATCGTCTACCACACATACATGTGGTAAATTCCTGTTACTTCCTATGCACATCTCACTTGTTGGAATATGGAAATCATTATTTTCCAATTTTTTTTTAAAGTATTTTGTAGTACTCCTCCATCGAATATTCTACCATTTATGCCAACATCTATGTACATAAATTGGCATTTTGGATTAACAATTATTGCCATCAGAACCACACTATGACATCCTTTATAATTATAAAAAGATGATCCACTATTAGCTGATGGAACAATTTCTATGTACTTTCATCTATCACACCAAGACAGTGAGGAAAGTTCCATCATTCTTTATACATCCTGGCTATTTCTTTCCATTCTTTTTCAGATGTAGGAAACTGAAATATAATAATATCAGTGTTATATATAAAATAGTTACCAAGTTTTTTATGCTGGAACACATATATTAAAAGTATTTGTATTGTTTCAGAGAGAGAACACTGAAGATTCTTCAATTGCTGATCAACAATATTCATCTGACAGTGTATCTTCTGACAATCCCGAAGCCACCCAGCTAAACCTGGTAAAAGAAAAATAAACGATGAAAGCATAGCCAACGAAGTATTGGAATCGGTACAAGCACTTTAAACATCCTCGTCCAGTTTTAACAGAAGATTGTTGTGATATTATTGGCAAAAATGTTGTGAGGACTTTAGATGCAAAACAAATAATAGTCACAGAAAAACTTATTAACGATGTACTTTTTGAAGCAGAAATAGGAGGTCTCAGTTCTGAACACGCCTATATTAATATAAGAGATGTTTTGAGAAAAAGACTATGAAGCTATGTCCCTGTTCAGCAATATCGACAAGTGTATCAAGCTTCTCCTACTTCAAATAGGGCTTATACCACTGTAAGCTTTGTTTCTCCCGGAGCTCCAAGCCCAACCTGCCTTCCATTTTCCAACAGCCAACATTCAGAGCATCCTTCTGTAAAAAGTCTCTCAAGGCGATCCCTATTCTACACAAATGCAACCACCTACTAGGGGAAATCAGCCCAGTGAAACAAAGATAGTTGTATCGACTCCAAATTCTGCAGCAACATTCCTTCATAATTTTAATGTTGATAATGAATAATTTGTACAAAACAGTTGAATTTTTGTAGGTTAATATTAAAAAAATGTTATTTTCTTAATAAATATTATCTGTAATAACTAAGAGTGTTTTAATTACTCACTTACCTTTAAGTAATCTTTTCTAATAACTAAGAGTGTTTTAATTACTCACTTACCTTTAAATAATCTTTTCTAAGAACTTTATACAAGGCTTCACATGTTTCAGGAATAATTTTTCCAAGTGCTTGAGATGAAATAATTGCTGAGAATTTTAACTCCTCATAACTTCTTCCAGTTACGAGAAATCTCAACGTAACTGATAATCTTTCATGTGCAGAAATACTATTTCTCATAACTGTGTCTTTCTTTTTTATCATAGGAGTAACCATTTCAAGTAATTTAATGTAAGTTTTGTCGTCCATCCGCAGATAGTTTTTAAAATCTTCTAGTTCAAATTTGAATTCATTCAATAAGTTAACATGACTGTATGTTTTTCTTTTCAACAACCAATGTGTACACCACTTTTTCGCTTAATTTTCACTGTTTTTTTAACTTTTGTCTTCAAAATTAAAACAAGGCCTAACAATACCAAAGCGTCATAGTCTTCAATCGATGTCATCGTTAAAACTGAAGACCGCACCGGTACACCGGAGAGTTCCCATACGCGCTACCGCTGTTTCGTTGACCTGTACAGGCATACCTGCACACTTAGGCCTCTCCAGTAGACTGTAGTGTGTATGGTGTGCCTTACTTGCTAACAGTTAGATAGAAACAGATATCATAAACATAGTCACCCTCTTCTTATTTTCTTTATATCATTATTTGAAGAATCAAAAGAATCACTTTGGGTCTTCTTCTGGACCCTCTCTTTAGGACCATGTGTTTATTTTATTAGTGTTCCTACATGTTTATTAGACAACTGAAGCTGTGTCCTTTGGGTCAGACGCTTGTAGGTTTAGGCTATACTTATTTAATGGCGGCAATACTGGCTATTGTCACGATCATTTCTCTAGGATTTTGTGGATATACTTTTCTAAAGTTTACCCACTATACCCTTCTGTATCGCTACTGTTTGATAGGGACTGCTTATTCAATATATTCACAGCTAACCTCTATATCCAAAGGCCATCCACTATCCACCCCCAGTCCCCACTGATCTTTTATTACAATTAATTAAATTCATGGTTTGAAAATAAATTAAAAATTGTGTTATTTGATACTACTTACAATAAGTTTGGTTTTATTTTTAGGCTATTGCAGCACAGTCAGTGAAGAAAGCTCCAAACCTACCAATGGATGAAACCAGGCTTCAGAGCATTAATGATATCCTCACTTATATATTTTCGAATGCTATTTCCGCTGCATTTCCAGATATCACAGATGCTCCAGTTGTAATTGCTTTATCTGGTGCAAATCCCAAATTTGGAGATTACCAGTGCAACTCTGCAATGCCTATAGCTAACATCTACAAGCAGTTGGGAAAAAAAGTTGTGCCAAGAGATATTGGCCAGAAAATTGTAGAAAATGTGCCTTCCCATGAACTTATCGCCAAAATGGAAGTTGCTGGCCCAGGGTTTATTAATATATTTTTGAGTAAAAGCTTTGCTGTTAAGAATTTGTCTCGTATTTTTGAACATGGCGTCAAAGCTCCTGAAGTACCTAAAAAAGTCAGGGTTTTAGTAGATTTTTCAGCACCTAACATTGCGAAAGAGATGCATGTAGGTCATTTAAGGTCAACCATTATTGGAGAAAGTTATAGTCGTTTACTGGAGTACCTAGGTCACGATGTTATAAGAATAAACCATGTTGGCGACTGGGGTACACAGTTTGGGATGCTAATTGCACATCTAGAAGATAAATTTCCTGATTTTTATGTTAAATCACCCCCAATCTCTGATTTGCAAGCGTTCTACAAGGAGTCCAAGTTAAGGTTCGATTCTGATGAAGAATTTAAGAAGAGAGCTTATGCCAGTGTTGTCAAATTGCAATCTTTTGAACCAAAACACAAAAAAGCATGGGAGTTAATTTGTGATGTTTCACGACAAGGTAAGTTTTGTAATAATATTCAGTTTTAATGAATTTGCCCAAGTATTCTCCTTATTATGACACATTAGTTCAAAAGTCCAAAATTGCAATATTCGAAATAAATAAAAAAACATTTGGCATGTGCTAACTGTAATAATTTAACTAACTTTATTTAACTCAAAACTCACATTACATTTTGGAAGAAAAGATGGCGCCGACTGGTGAGCAGGGTTTAAATGTGCTCTCTCTAGTTAGTGACGAAAATTTCCTAGAGAAACGATTTAAGTGCTGTCAAAGTAAAGCTACTAAAATCTTAGTTTGTGTACAGTGTGGAAATGTTTTTCATTTATCATGTGCAACCAGACGGTAGCTTCAGTGCATCAAAATTGGTGACACACGAATAATTTGCTGTGAAACAAACGAGAAATCTAATGACGAGGAGAATTTCCAAGGTAAATCCGATCTATACAAAGAAAATAAGCTACTTAAAAATATTATAAAAGAAAAAGAAGAAAAATTTAATTTATTACTAGAAAATAATTATCTTTTAAAACAAAACAATCGTTATTTACAAGAAAAGATAAGAAAAATGGAAGCAAAGACTGAACCTGTTAAACAACCAGTTTTAAATGAGTCAAACAAAAAACACCTTAGTCATATCAAACAATTAACTCCAAATTATAAAATTACAAATAAATTTCAAACACCGGTGTTGCCAACTGTTACCGAAAGTAGTAGAAGCCCTGATAATAATTCAACATCTGCAGAACTTAGTAATGCACAGCTAAATAAAATGCAAACTTTAGTAAATATTAAGGAAGATATGGAACAAGACAATGATGGTTTTACGTTAGTCCTCTCAAAGAAGGAAACTAGGCAATCAAAAAAAAAAACAACGGTGAAAATGATATAACTACCGACTTAGGAGTTCAAAGAAAGGCTTGGCTTTACCTTTCTTGAGTTAAACGAAGTGTCACAACAGTTACTATCTTCGATTATGTAAAAGATCAGGATAAAGAGGCTTATATTATTATTAGAGAACTACCAACTAACGACAACCAAAACAAATGACTTGGCCAAAATCTATCGCTTACAAGCGTTTCGATTTCCGGAAATACCAACAATATAATCGTCGCTCCAAGGATTTTTAAATAATTTCTTCGTTAGGGACTCTCAAACCCAAAGTAAATGTCAAACTTCCATAGGTTACCAAAATATCCGAAGTCGAAGTATTAATGCTGTAACTAAAATATTTTGCCTACCACATGGGGTAAGATTATGGGGGTAGAGAGAGGGCAAGCAAAATAATCGCTACTTGTGCGAACGGCACTCAGGGTTTGGTAGAAGAGCTGGGGTCGTGGATAAGTAAAAGATAAGGGGGTTGGATTGGGGCAACTACAAAAAATGAAATAAAGGGGTCATTAATCTCTTGGGAAAACCAAATAAAAATAAACAGGAAACACCTCAAGGATTTTAATATATGGCGCCACTTGAGGTGCCTAATTATGCCTATTACAACCACTAGTTGTAACTAAGGAAATAATTATAAAACATCCAAACATATCTTCTTCAAATAAAACTCAAAAAAGGGTTAGTTAAAAAAAATAAATAAAAGGTTAAGAAAAGAAAATTTAACATTTATTTTTGTGTCATGCCACAAACAGTTACAAAACATAGAGAACCAAGAATGGTCAAAAAAAATACAAAAATATTACCACGATAGTCGCAAAATACAAAAAACTTACATGCGTTTTACTAATTTACAAATTCAGGAGATAAAACGAAAAAACTTACTAATGTTACTGACGTATAAACTATGGCAAATATAAAAGTTATTACAAATAAAAAAATTATCTTTTAAAACAATGAAAGCAATTATCATTTTAGCAAAAAAATGTCTGTCTTTACTTTGAAATTTAAAACATTAAATATTACCTTGATTTTTCACATATTTTTGCACTTAAACTTTGAAACTTGCTACATCTCTGGTACTGAAACTGCAAGGACGAAACTCTGGAACAAGGATAACCATTTCCATACTCAGGAACGAAAGAAGACCATCTCCATAATTTGGAACGCCGATCTGACGTAGATGGGCTGGATCAAACAAGAAAAACGACAACAAAGCTGTGGGACATCCTATATATGGCTTCAAAACTATACCATGCTCTGGTACACCACACAAATTATTTTTTTACTGCTAGACATTTCCACTAAAGGGGCCAAAAAAAAAGAAGAACACAAATTCGACGGAAAATTTGCGGATCCATACTTGCGATCCACACAGCGAACTGCTCGGCGACCCAAGCATGAATGACGAACTTAAAAATTCGTTCATATAACTTGAAAACAAACAAAACGCTGTCATAACAAAACACACAGAAACAACGTAGAAGATTCCATTTGCGACGTATAAAAATTGAATACCTGACTTGCAATCTCTTTTCTAAGAACCTCTTTCTACAAAACCTAAACAAACAATATCCCCTTGATATTCGTTTTAAACGACGAACGACAACAAACTCTTTTTTTCTGCCTATCTCGTTAAAAAAAATTGAAATATTCTACTTTAAAATAGCAGATATTACACGTATTTATTGATTATTCTAGCGACCCTAATTTTAAACCGGACAATGTAACAAAAGGTTATGGGATTTGAAAGTAAACATAGACAAAAAATATTTCCAGCGTTATTACGCATTTACGAATCTCAACTTCAAATTTTTTCGTAAAAGACAATCACAGATTTCTTGGCAATATTTATGCGTACTGACGAGATAAACAAACAGGAACGTATTATAAAAATTTAAAACCAAATTTATATTATTATATAGACATTAAATATAAAACGCTACAAAATATGCTATAAAATTGCTACAATGCAAGTAAACCGACAAACTTATATTTCCCCATTTTACACTGCAATATACAGAGGGGACTTGCACGTAAATCTTACGATATAAATTTGATACTTCAAAATAATAATGTGAATGTTTTATGCCTTATTGAACACTGGTTGAAAGAAGAAAAGTAACCAATAACGAAAACTTTAATTTAGTATCTTATTTCGCAAGAAATGATAAAGAAAGTGGAGGTGTATGCATATTTGTAAATAATAAGTTCAGTTGTGAACAGCTAAATTTACGTCAATGGTGTATTGAAAGCAAAGTTGAAATATGTGGAGTAAAATTTATAGTTCATAGAAGTAAAAAATATTTATTTATTGTAAGGATAGGTAATTTTAATACTTTTATTACGAAGTTAGAACTATTGTTGCAGAGTATTTTAACAATAATAATATTTACGTTATATGTGGAGATTTTAATATCAATTTTTGGTTGAGTTTACAGAAAGTACAAGCTGAACATAGCCGCAAATGTCAAAAATATTTTGGTTTGGCGGTTTTGGCATGTTTTATAATGCATAGGTTGTATGCTTCAAATATAAAGAGATCCTTGTGTGAGCGGTACTCACCGGAGGGACCGCAGACGTTCGGATACAATTAGCGTCTCTTAGCAAAGACAATGACGTCGACTTTGCTAAGTATCAAGACAATTACTCTACACACACAAACACAGACACACACACACACACACACACACACACACACACACACACCACACACACACACACACACACACACACACACACACACACACACACACACACACACACACACACACACACACACACACACACACACACACACACACACACACACACACACACACACACACACACACACACACACACACACACACACACACACACACACACACACACACACACACACACACACACACACACACACACACACACACACACACACACACACACACACACACACACACACACACACACACACACACACACACACACACACACACACACACACACACACACACACACACACACACACACACACACACACACACACACACACACACACACACACACACACACACACACACACACACACACACACACACACACACACACACACACACACACACACACACACACACACACACACACACACACACACACACACACACACACACACACACACACACACACACACACACACACACACACACACACACACACACACACACACACACACACACACACACACACACACACACACACACACACACACACACACACACACACACACACACACACACACACACACACACACACACACACACACACACACACACACACACACACACACACACACACACACACACACACACACACACACACACACACACACACACACACACACACACACACACACACACACACACACACACACACACACACACACACACACACACACACACACACACACACACACACACACACACACACACACACACACACACACACACACACACACACACACACACACACACACACACACACACACACACACACACACACACACACACACACACACACACACACACACACACACACACACACACACACACACACACACACACACACACACACACACACACACACACACACACACACACACACACACACACACACACACACACACACACACACACACACACACACACACACACACACACACACACACACACACACACACACACTACATTAATAAACTTATCTTGATTGAGACTGGCTGACAATTGTCCAAGCCAAAACACACAAAAAAAATATAAAGAGATGAAGCTTTTAAAAAGTACATTTTGATTTTACTATTTTATGAATTCTGCAATTTTTAATTTATACGAAGCAATAACGAGTAGATATTTGTCTCTTTCGAGATTAATTGCAACCATTTGTTGCAATCTGGCAATTGCTGATTTGACGATTGCCAAATCTGTCCCCTAATCTATCAAAGGGTAATTGCTAAAAAAATGTCTAATGATTAACTGCAATTAATCTCCAAAGAAACAAATATTTACTCGTTATTGTTGCATATAAATTAAAAATTGCAGAATTCATAACATATTATAAAGAAAATGTACTTTTTTAAGCTTTATCTTTTTATATTTGAAGCATACAGCATTATAAAAACATGTCAACACTGCGTTACCGAAATTTTTTGTTCCATGTTTAACATTTGCGGCTATGATCAGCTTGTACTGTCGGTAAACTCAACCCAATTTTTTAGAAAATAGCAATCAGAAAAATATTTGAATCAACCTAATTTTAGAATACCACATTAAATGTCACATAAATGTACCTACTAGCATTACTAAAAATTCTTCAACGTGTATTGACAACTTTTTTTTTCAATTTATATGTTCAAAAGGTGAGTGTATGACACATTTCTATCAGATCATACTTATCAATTATGAGCTTTTGATATGAAAGTTACTGGAAACAATCCTCAAACTGTTTTTACCAGAAACTTATGCGATGTCAACTTAATAACTTTTCAAAATATTTTAGCTAATGTTGATTGGAGTGATCTATATGTGGCTAGTAGTTTTGAAGAAAAATTTTCAATATTTTATGATACTTTCTTATATTATTATAATACTACTTTCTTAAAACGTAGAGTAACTACCAGACCAAAACAAAAAACGTGGTTTGCACCTCATATTAAGGGTTTGCATGATCAATTATGTCAGATGAATGAATTAAGAAAATAACTCAATAACCCACAGTATTCGGAACGATACAAGAAATTTAAACAAGAATATCAAAAAGTTGTTAAAAAAACATAAAAAGGAACAGTATGATAATCAATTTAGTAATAGCAATAATGTAATGAAGGAAAGTTGGAAAATAATTAATTAAAATAGAGTTAAAAACTGTCAATCAAATCAAAATTTAATATCTTTTAGTAACAACGGTGACTTACAAAATTATCATACAGCTGATCAAATCAACAATTATTTTGTTAATGCTGTAAAAAATAATGAACCATCAGTTTTGAACCGTACCATACAAATTGACCAATTCAATTCAAGTTTCTTTTTATCACCAACCACTGAAAAGAAGTTACATCTATTGTATTAAAAACTGCTTCTAAAACAGCTGCAGGGGTAGCATTTTTAAAAATCCCTATTTTTAAAAATAAAGTATCTGCAACGGATATTGCAAACTATAGGCTGATTTGTGTGTCAAGTCAGTTCTCTAAAAGATTTGAAGCAGCCTATGCAAGTAGATTAACAGATTATTTAGAACATTTTAAAATTCTTCCTGTTATTCAAAACGGGTTTAGAAAAAGAAATCTACAAATACTGCTATTTCTGACTGTGTTCAATTTATTTATAAAGCATTAAATGATAAATTAAATGTATTGGGTCTTTTTCCTGACCATAGTCGTGCATTTGATACGGTTAATCGTGAACTCTTATTACAAACATTTTGGAGTACGTGCTATACCGTACAATTGAGCCCTATCTTATCTAAGTAATAGAACTCAAGTGGTCACTTCAATGTACGATAGGTGTACCTCAAGGCTCAATACTGGGGCCTTTATTTTTCATTATATTTGTAAGTGACATAAACACGTTTTGTTCAATGCCAGATAAAATTGTTCAGTATGCTGATGATACCAATATTCTCATGTCTCGCAGTGAACCCATACAACTGGTGGAAAATACCAATGTTGAGTCTGCTGAATTTAGCACATATTGTAAAAATATTGTACTCAAGCTCAACGTAACAAAAACACATTTTATGCGATTCTTACCAAAAAACTTAACTCCAAATTCTGACTTTTATTTACATGTGGAATGCAAATCAGTAGAAATCAGTATACTACAACGAAATTTTTGGGGGTAACCCTAGATCATAAACTTACCTAGATCATAAAATACATAATCCACAAGGAAGAAATTCCTGTAGCTGGCTGTATAACACGTATCACAAAAAATAGGTTAGTCTTCGTAAATGGGTATATTTATTTAAAAAACCCTTAAAAGGGCTACATCAATAAAACAAACGTTTTCAGACCAAACAGTCCATCATCAGGTTTTAAAATTGAAAAATTGCTAGGTCACAATGCCTGAGCCACCAAAATACTAGGGTAAAAACCCTTTAAATTACGTTTAGTTATAAAAGATTATACATTGTGTTGTAAAATAACTGTGATGTTCAGTATTAAATTAAATTTGGCTAGAGGTAACACATGGCTGAAGCGAGTTCCAGAGCCGGTGAGAGAACCTCTACACGCGGAGTTCCCAGCTGGAACTCGCTTCAGCCATGTGTTACGTCTAGCCAAATTTAATTTAATACTGAACATCACAGTTATTTTACAACACAATGTATAATCTTTTATAACTAAATGTAATTTAAAGGGTTTTTACCCTAGTATTTTGGTGGCTCAGGCATTGTGACCTAGCAATTTTTCAATTTTAAAACCTGATGATGGACTGTTTGGTCCGAAAACGTTTGTTTTATTGATGTAGCCCTTTTAAGGGTTTTTTAAATAAATATACCCATTTACGAATAAAATACATGGTAAATCATGTATTAGCAAAGTTAAGTACATGTAGCTAATTTAAGAAAAACTGTCTTGATATATTGCGAATGATTTACTTTAGTTTAGTCTAGTCTGTAGTTCAGTATGGCTTAATATTTTGGGGTTGCTCATCTCATTTTGAACGGGCATTTATAGCTCAAAAGCCACTATTCAAGAAGTCTAATATTTTAACACTACCTAGCCTTTTAATTTTCGAATTAATATTGCACATTGAGGAAAACAAGTTCAAGTTTGACAGAAATGAGGACATTCAAATACATAATACTAGAGGTAAATAAAATTTTCGACAACCTTTCTCTAGATTAGGTGTGTCCCAACATGCACCTGAATATATGGGAATAAAATGTTACAATAAAATAGTCAATATATTAACTTTCAGTAATTCTTCACATAATGGTTTTCGCCAAACTGTGTATTCATTTTTAATGGAAGTAGAATTCAAACATTCTACAGTGTTGATGGATTTTTAAATTTATAACATTTTTGCAACAATAGTTCTAAATTTGTATTTGTAACTTTTATTTCTTATTTATTTTATTATAATCACTGTTTTATTTTAATTATGTGTACTTTTACTATATATTGTACTCTTTTATACTAAAATTTTGACTAGTCCGATTTTTTTTTTAGAATTGTGTAAACTTTGTGGATGAATAAATTTTATATATCTATCTAACCTGGACCTTAGTATCGTTATTTGTGTGACCGTGTTGCCAATAATAAGAGCATTTACCATCTTCCATTATGAACAATCATCTACCACCTAATCGTGGTAATTGTTTATATGTTATACAATTAAAGTGACCCAGCGACGTAGGGTTACAAAATGAATACCAACATTTAAAAAACAATTTATTGGATTTTAATTTTTCTTGACTTCTTGGCTTTTCACCTAAATATAAATAATGTCATTATATTTATATTTTAGAGTTTCAAAAGATATATGATAGGCTGGATGTTTCAATCATCGAAAGAGGGGAATCATTCTACCAAAGCCGTATGGAAAAAGTAGTAAAGGAGCTTGACGAAAGAGGACTACTAGAGTTAGATGAAGGGCGTAAAGTAATGTGGGGTGGCACAACAATTCCACTTACAATCGTAAAAAGTGACGGGGGCTTCACATACGATACCTCGGATGTAGCTTGTATAAAACAACGTCTCGAAGAAGAAAAAGCTGAATGGGTCATATATGTTACTGATGCCGGCCAAGCCACACACTTTGAAACTCTGTTTGGGTGTGCCGTAAAAGCTGGCATTTTGAATCGAGCCATTCATCGTATTGATCATGTTGGTTTTGGGGTTGTATTGGGTGAAGATAAGAAGAAGTTTAAAACTAGGTCAGGTGATACTGTGAAGTTGTCGGCCTTGCTAGATGAAGGATTGAGCCGAGCGTTGGATAAGCTAAAAGAGAAGGAAAGAGATAAGGTAAGATAAAATTTAATTAAGACCGAAAGTTCCGCTTAGTCTGTCGAATTCTTGGCATTCCTACACTAGCCTAAAATCCACCTTAGAGCTTCTAAGGGCCCACATGGCTGTGTGAAAATCTGCATATATACTTCTAAATCCCTCATGTTAATTTCTTTTGCAGAACTACATTCTCCTAGAGTAGTTGTCTACAAATCATTTAAAAGAACCCAATAAATATAAATAAAATAAAATAGTATTCAAAAACACGTTTTTTTAAACTTTTTGTTTTACTAGGTATATTTTTATGTAAAGTTACCGAAATGTATGTAATGTTAACTGAAATTTTCAGATAAAAAATCACAAACTCATAGTAAAGCTTCAATTTCTTGATTTGATGATGAATTAAAAGTAATGCGAGAAAATCCACAGTTAAGCTAATTGCTTATGTTACAAACGATTATAATAAATATACTCAATATCATTAAAGAAAAAACTGGCCCATAAGCATTTCTTTTCCAATTCAAAAAATATATTTCGTGACAGTTGGAAAGTTATAAATTATCGCAGAAATAAATTTCAAAATAAAAAAGTCTGTCCAAGCGCGACTACATAAAACGATTTCAATAATTACTTTATTTCAGTAGCTAAACATATTAGAAGTTCTTTTAATTCCAGCAATGTAAATGTAGCCATAGATTTTTTGAAAGATGTACACTCTTCTTGCCACTCTTTATGTTTATTAGCTGTTAGTGAGACTGAAATCAGAAATGTTTTGCATAGCTTGAAAAATTCAGACTGTATTGCTTGTCAAATTTAAAATTAGGCTCCACCCACGATGCGCATTCGACCACAACACAATTGGTCCGTATTATTTCTTGGCCCTTCGAAGTGCAAGGTACTTGTATAGTCTGCGACAAAGTTTTTTTTATTTTACTTATGTTTAAAGTTACTTTGTGTTGAAGAAATATATTACAATAGATTTGACTTTTTAAATATTTATTGTTAAGTATTTTAAATTATAAACATGGATTTTCATTCAAAATTAGAAGGCAAAGTCTTGTCTGGACAAACGAGTGAGGTAATAGCAACTGTATTTATTTTTATGCAGAGAGAAGCGATGCAAAATCCGCATGTTAAAGATTTTAAAAAAGTTCAACAGCGTGCTTCCTTAGCAACGGGAGAAGTATAGCCACTATAAAACGGATCTCTCGTGAAATGAAAAATATTGAAGAAGGTGCTTCTACATCATTTTCGATGCCTAACAAAAGAATGAGATCTGCCCCAAAATCCAACTTGAGCGATTTTGACAAAAGTTTACTTCGGCGTTTAATAATAAATTATTATGTCACGGAAAAACGAGTTCCTACATTGCGACAATTAACAAAAAAGATAATGAAGACAATATGTATACAGGGTCGCATGAAACTTTGAGAAAAGTGATGAGAGATATAGGATTTTGACGGAAAAAAGCGAAGAATAACAGGAAAATCTTAATGGAAAAACCCGATATACAAGTGCTCTGGAGGAAGTTTCTCAGAAATATTAAACAATATAGGGAAGAAAATCGGCCCATAATTTACATGGATGAAACTTATATTCATTCCTCTCATACCCATGACAGATACTGGGGAGACAATACCACCGAAGTTTGCACAACAACAAGTAAGTGTCCAAAGGGCAAAGGCAGATTATTGTTCACGCCGGCAATCAAATGGGGTTCATAAAAAACGCATGTTTAACATTTAAATCTGGTACGAAGTCTGGAGATTATCATAGCGAAATGAACTATAATAATTATAAAAAATGGATTCATGAAAAATTTATTCCTAATATACCAGCCCGTAGTGTATTGTTTATAGACAATGTCCAAGTGCAAAAATATCCCACTATGGGGTGTAGAAAAGACGAAATGAAGGAATGGTTAAGACAGAAGAACATTAGTGTGGGCTGCTCTAAAACAATATGTGGCAAATAAAAATGTAGATTTTAAATTTAAAAATGTTTAAAACTTACTGTGATAGTTTTTCTGCGAATTTTCCCAAGATGAGTGAGATGAGAAGAGATTTTTCTAGGGGGGCGCTATAACACTTACTGGTCAACCCTCACTGCCTCACCTGTATCATTGCTCTGCTTTTTATTATTGCTCATTGTTGATATTTTACTTATATAGTTTATATCTTTTAGGTATTAACTCCCGAAGAATTAAAGAAAGCTCAAGAATCAGTAGCATATGGATGCATAAAATACGCTGACTTGTCGCACAACAGAAATCATGAATATGTATTCTCTTTCGACAAGATGTTAGATGATAAGGGTAATACAGCCGTCTATCTTCTGTACGCATTCACCCGCATCAAGTCCATAGCTCGAACTGCCAACTTCACATCAGAAAAGATCAAGGAATTGAGTAAAACAAACAGTATCACGTTGGAACATGAAAAAGAATGGAAGCTTGCGAAAGTCTTGATGCGGTTTCCTGATGTTCTTCTAAAAATAACTAGGGATCTGTTTCTCCATCCCTTATGTGAATATGTGTACGAAGTTTCCACTACGTTTAGTGAGTTTTATGATAATTGTTATTGCGTTGAAAAAGATTCTTCTGGGGATATTATTAAAGTAAATGTTGGAAGAATATTACTTGCAGAAGCTACTGCCATGGTTCTGGAACGCTGTTTTTATATTTTGGGTTTAAAACCTGTGGAAAAGATGTAAATACATTTTTTATGATTTGATCTTGCCATTTTATTTTTTTTTATATTGCTATACTAAGTATATTACAAAAAGGCATATCTGCCTTTGCGACGTACTCTGAAGCAAGTGTCATATTTCTATATTTGGCATCTTTCAGTGGTAACGGTAAAGACTTGTTCACACGGATAGAGTTGTGAGGAGAGTAGAGTAGCGAGTAGAGTCGACTCTACCTCGCTACTCTACCAAAAATGGCTTGATACCGTTCACACGAGGAGAGTTACAAGTATAGTAACTTATATTCCAACTCATCCTCTAAGACTAGTTCTCTTAGCAGAAGAGCGTGCGTATTCCTTCTTTTAAGCCACTCTCTCATCCACTCCTTTCTTTGTTTGTTTACCTCATCATCGATACAAGGATCTACAGACCGAGAGTTTGGTATACAAATTCCACGGCTTCGCGCAATCGTACTTGTAAGTTCGTGAACTAAGTCGACTGGAGTTACAATTTGCCAAATTTAAATGTATAATCGTTTCTACTCATTCATATTAATATTATAATGTATAATATATTAAAGTTTTTAATATTGGTAATATTATTAAAGCTTTTAATACTATTTTTTAATATTAATAATAATATTAAGTAATTAAATATTGTGCCTTGCTTAAAAAAAGTACGAGATAAATAACTCGTTTTTTATATCTTTACGTATGCTAAGGGTAATAAATTAAAATCATTCAGTACAAGACTAAAGATAGGTACCTATAATTTGAATAAGCTGGTTTTGCCCATACTGACTTTCTAATTACCTACTAATTTGCATAACAGTCAGATATTGTACTTGGTCATAATGCTGTTTTAATATTAGGATTTTCATTTCGCTTGTTGAAACTTCATCCGATATTAATTTCTTGGAAATTTTTATAAGGCTGAGAGTACTAAATCGGAATACTTGAGTATTGTTGAAAAAAACTGAAATTGAAGGTACTACACAATCGAAGAGCTCAAAAAAATTAAACATTTCCGGTATTCTTTTTCCAGATCGTATTTTGTTTTCGAGATATATTTAAATTTGGGAATTTTTTATTATTTTTCCACTTTTTTCATGTTCTTTTTTAATTTAATTTCAGTGTATAAAAACCTTTACAATATTATCCAAATTTTATTTGGAAGTTTTAATCTTAAGTGTTCAGAAACAATTTACTAGGAAATGAAAATTTTTTCCCTTAGTTCTTAATTTGCTAAAATATTTCTCATTTGATTTAATAAAAAATATTGTAAATTTTTTTTTTGAATAATTATAACAACGACTCACATCCGAGTAGCTTAACACAATTAAAGAAAATATAAGGAATAGGCTCACGACTCGGAACTGAGTCTTTTCTTCTTTTCGCATAAAATATTACAAATTTATTTAAAATACCTTTTATTTAATATATACTTTATTTATTCATCACAATTTAAAAAAATACTAGTCAGCACAGCGGCAGATTTCCATGAAAATACGCTAAGCAGTGATAATGATTGCATGTACCTAAGTTAATATTTTTGTCTTTTGGTTGGTGTTATATTGGAAATTTCCCCTCTCAAGGCATTTGCAAGAAAATTGCACTTTTATATAAAAAAACGAGGTATTTATCTCGTACTTTTTTTAAGCAAGGCGCAATATTTAATTACTTAATATTATTATTAATATTAAAAAATAATATTAAAAGCTTTAATAATATTACCAATATTAAAAACTTTAATATATTATACATTATAATATTAATATGAATGAGTAGAAACGATTACATTTAAATTTGGCAAATTGTAACTCCAGCCGACTATACGAACTTACAAGTACGATTGCGCGAAGCCGTGGAACATGTACCAAATTCTCGGTCTGTAGATCCTTGTATCATCGATAGTTTCAGCGACTTCAGTTACAAAAAGTACATTTGCAACTGTAGCAATATTGTGTAATTCGATAAATTTTCGAATTGGTGTTAATTTTGATATACATTATTATTTCTGATTAAAATAAGCTGAATTTTTATTAAATTTGATGTTTCATTGCTATTATAAAATCCTTACAGAATATTTCACTTTAAAAGATATCAATTTACAATTTTAATTCAATTGGCAATTCCTTAAGTGGCCAATCACTGTACCCATTACGCTACCTGTAATAGCTATATTTCTTTTTCTAGACTGGAGTACATTTTCTACGTTGCGGTTATTTTGGATTTATTAAGAAAAAAACAAACATCACATTAAATGCACTTTATTTTCTTCCATTATTGTAAATATATTACAGAATTTACTGGTAAGTATGAAAAGGTGGATATTGGATATGATAAGCACAACACAACTTATTTATGACAGTAGTTATTTTACAATTATATGAAAAAAATAATCAGTCAACTAGAGATTCTGTACCTCGCTGAAGAACAAAGCCATTCACATTATCTTCAGATAATACTGATAAAAAATAACCGATGTGCCATCTATATCATGTGTATAATGGACAGCTTTTTCAATTTTTTTTCATCCACGATACAAGTACAAAAAAGTATTTACAATTTTAATAGCCAACATCACCTGTACTTGGGTCATTAAACACACTTTTTTACTAAACGAATTGAAATAGTAAAATATTTCGCAAAAATTGTAGTACGTCTATGCATATTAGTTAATAGATGTTTATTTGTACAATAGTATAAAGAAAAAATAAATAAATATGGAAAAGAAAAATTTTATTAACGTTTCTTTCACATGTGAAACTGATGTCAAACTACAGGAATGTGACTATCTTCGATCTGAATACTGAAATATACCTTAAGTTTACCACAGAACATTCGTTCTAAAATACAAATTTATAACAATCAAATCAGATTAACACTACACGATTTTGAGGTTAGAAAATTGGCTGCACGCCGAAAGGCAAGGGCTATAGTACAATAAACGAGATTTTGAAACTACAGGTGTGATTTAGATGTGTACATGTAAATAGTTACTGTTACTGTAAAATGTAGTAGATAAAAAAGGTACTACAACAGAAGTGGATTGGTGATAGCACCTAGTTGACGCTACCTAATCGATACGTCTAATCCAGGAAGCTTCTGTCAGGTCCTAAATAGGAATATTTACAGTATGTTTATGTTTTTAAGTTCGATAATAAAAGTGTCATTCGACGTAACAGTAATACTGAAAGTCATGGTGGTAAAGGGCAGGAATGGTATAGAATACTGGTCTATTATGCTCATTATGTGCTATTTTTAATTGGAGTTTAAAACGATAAACCCAAATTATCCAAATTAAAGGTTATAAGAGCTAAACTTTTGTGCCGACAACAAATCTTTTAATATATACCAAAACCACAATTTGCGACTTAAGAATGTCATTCTTGACATCAATAGTTGTCTTGAGAGAAACAGTGTACCCGATAATTATGGTGAAAAGGAAAATCTAGGTTTTTTGCAGTAACACCACTTGATTGCTGAACAATGGTTTTAAAATCACTAAATTTGGACAAAAAAAAATGTTAATTTTTTCGATTCATCTTGGTACTATATCTATGCCGTTGAACTTAAGGAGAATTCTGTTGGTATCACTACGACACACTAAAACGTAGATGTCACAAACAAACAGTTAATATTATAAATAATTGTAGTAAATAGGTTGTAACGAGTGTCTAAGCAGAGTCTACACAGTAGAAGTCTTTCCCTGATTACCCTAGACAACTTTACTCACAGTAAAAACAGTTTACATATAAAAAACAGGTACATATTATAGCAGAAAATAAAAATTTGCAGTAAACGTCATCCATATACTTTGATAAATTATAGAAAAGCCTTAGAGTCCAAAGCCCTCCCCCAATTATTTCCTAAAACATTGATATTAAATTACTAATTTTTTAAATAAATGAACTAAAGCACCTGTGCTTCGTTTTTACGACGCTTAATAACGTAATTATTCAAAACAACATGTTGGCGCTCATTGAATAATTTTGTAGTTTCAAATTTTTATGGAAACCACTTGAACAGGTCAATTCATTTTTCCAGTTTCGCCAACATTGATAAAATAGTAATATTAGTATCCCATTTAAAATATTCTTAAATGACAATATATGGCATGTGATGCATCATTTGAAAGCTCTTGTGGCATTAAATATATTTCTAGAATATTAGACAGAATTATATGTTGTCTTGATGTTCCAAAATGGCAACTGGTATAACAGAGTATCAAATGTTCCAAATAATTTGATATTATATGGATGACTGAAAGCAACGATGGGGTATTTTGACTAATTCTTTTTTTAATATTATTACAGCAAGAGTCCAATTTATCATACCAACTCTGAGATAACAGGTATTAAAACCAAACTTCACGGCTATAGGGTATAAACCAATATTATACTGGAAGAAATTAACTCATTTAGTCAAAGCAACACTGAGACAAACTGAATAACCCACTATTGCTTGTTCATTGGACTTTTCATCTAAAAATAGTGTCAGCCATTTTTTTTCAAACAGACATTTTGTAAACAATCAGGTTAGGTTAGTAATATAAATAATACAGATAATTAATATAAAAAATACCAAGGAAAGTCTAGTTATTGAAAAAAATAAAGTGCCACAATTAGCAAATCAATTTTTTTATAAATAATCAATTATTATGATACCTGTACGAAAAGGAACAACAAAGTGGTGTTGTTATGAAATATGTAAGAGTGATACACGCTCTAAATCAGTTACAATACACATATAAAAGACAATACACATATTATTTTATAAATTTTCTAATGCCATTATTTTTTTATTTAAATAAAAAATATTTATTTAATAAATATTAATTTTTAAATTTATAAACGTATGTATATACATTATTCATTGCCATCGTCATCATCATTGTCAAATCTGTCTGTACGAAAAACATGGCAGCTTATGAAAGTCCTATTAGTGAAAGAAATGTTGGCAATTCTGAGACATTCTGAATGGCTATCAAGTTTTTGAGGTTGTTTGTTTATGTTATAATTTATATATGACATTTATGTACAAA